AAAAGTGATACTGTTACTTGGCCCTAACTGGACACTTGAATTTTGTCCTGAACTGGTCCTATTGTAGGTAGAACATGCTGGGGGACATGACACTCTCCATTAGAGGTGATGATGGCTCACTGTGGCTGCTGGAGCAGGGTAGACATCCGTCCCCAAGAACCATGTCCCAATCATAAGGAGGGGTGATGTGTTTGGAAAAGACCCATTGGGAATTTCCTCCCGTTCTTAATCGAGCATCACTGCACTGACTTAGAGACTTAGAAATAGCCCCAAGCCCTAATTACAATGCCGTGGTATAACACAGCACGTCGCCCGTGAGCCAGTCCAAATGAGCAACGTGACAACAGTTCTTTTATCAATATGGCAAGTTGAAGAAATGTGTTTGGCTTCTGAAAAAGATGTGTAAAATTAAGACATTACAAGCCAGTGAAAACTCTTATTTTGGGATATTACAAACTTTAAATAGTGAGGATAAAGTCAGTCCATTTTAGCATTTCAAAGGGATAAGTGTGATAGCACTGATGCCATTCAACCCCTTTGTGTTTTTTAGTTATACATTTCTAGTGAAAGAGGAGTGGTCTGGAGGCCAAAAATTGTTAGTTCTGCCACATATAAGCTATCTATCCTTAGTCAAGTCATACACTCCCAGAGCATCTGTAAAATAGAGATTCTAATATTTGCCTTTCCTGCTTATTTAATAAAACCAGATAAGGGCTGGTGAAAGTATTTTTAGACCTCTAAAGTGATATCAATATTAAAATGGTGTTATTCCTGACTTAGCCTATTTCTGAAGCTCTAGATTATTACAGTCCCTTCTAGTCAATGGAGGTCAACGTAGCTTTTACTTACATTTAATAATTGTATCAATGGCAGCTCATGTAATTTCTTCAGGTTGTCTGTCACTGTTAAATTTCAGTCATAGATTATTTGGTAGCATAGACATCTTGGCACCTTTTTAATGATTTCTTACCTCACCAAGAGAAAAAGGGCTTTAGGCTCGGCGCCTATAGCTCAGCCGGCTAAGGCGCCAGCCACGTACACCTAAGGTGGCAGGTTCGAATCCCCAGCCCGGACCCGCCAAACAACAGTGACGGCTGCAACCAAAAAATAGCCAGGCGTTGTGGTGGGCGCCTGTGGTCCCAGCTACTTGGGAGGCGGAGGCAGGAGACTCGCTTGAGCCCAGGAGTTGGAGGTTGCTGTGAGCTGTAATGCCACGACACTCTACCCAGGGGGACAGCTTGAGGCTCTGTCTCGAAAAAGGACTTTAAATCAATTTAGTACAATTAAATCTATAGTTAATAGACTAAAAACACTGCAGCATCTCATAGAAAGTTGGAATTAAAGACAATTGAAATTTTCATTTTTTAAAAGTGTAAAGTGCATTTGCATAGATGCATGACAGTGTATTAATACTTCTCCATTAGTAAGTGATAAAGGCTCATCTTAAGGAAAGGGTCAACCAGAAATTAAATTGAAGACTATGTTTGGTTTTTTTCATGTTTCTCTTTTTTTAATTCTTATGAAAGTCTTTCTGTTATTTCAGCTAATGACGCCGGCTACTTTAATGAGGAAATGGTGCCCATTGAAGTGAAGACAAAGAAAGGAAACCAGACAGTGCAAGTGGATGAGCACGCACGGCCCCAGACCACACTGGAACAGCTGCAAAAACTCCCTCCAGTGTTCAAGAAAGACGGAACCGTCACTGCAGGAAATGCGTCGGTCAGTGTCACTGCTCAGAGAGCTTGAACTCTCCCTGACGTGCTCAAGGCAAAATAATCATGAAGCATCCCAGAGGTGGTTTTCATGCTACTCTTTATTTACCTTAAACTAGTCGTGTTCATATTCACTTTATCTGGGTGTTCATAGTCCAACACAAAATATGTTAGCTAGGGGCCCTCACTTATTACTCTTCTGATTTCTTAGTTTTTTCACAATGTAAGAAGGAAATCTGCCTGGTTTATTATTTTATATTTAATTGTGTCCTAATTAATTCCTTATTTTGCTAATAAGCATCAGCTGAGCCAGAGAAATATTACTTTGACTTCTTGAGAAAATATGTTTAACTCACAGTGAAAAGAACGCCTGATTTAGAGAGACCTAAAGTCACACCCTAGCTCCATCACTAACTGATTTGTTAAAATATTCAGTATTTTAATGGAATTGGTGGGGGGTTTTTTTGTTTGTTTGTTTGTTTGAGACAGAGCCTCAAGCTGTCCCCCTGGGTAGAGTGCCATGGCATCACAGCTCACAGCAACCTCCAACTCCTGGGCTCAAGCAAGTCTCCTGCCTCAGCCTCCCAAGTAACTGGGACCACAGACGCCCGCCACAACGCCTGGCTATTTTTTGGTTGCAGCCGTCATTGTTGTTTGGTGGCCCAGGCTGGATTCGAACCCACCACCTTGGGTGTATGTGGCCGGCACCTTAGCCACTTGAGCCACAGGTGCTAAGCCAATGGAATTGGTTTTAATATACAATTCATCAGATTTCTTCTTACATTTAGATAAAAGTTTTTCTTTGACACTCTTTTCTACTTCCCATTAGTGAAATTGAATTCTGTGCCTGAAACGATCTTCTTACTCTACCCAAGTACCACGAGTGCTAGTTATATCCCAGTTTACTCCATGGCTCTCTATGCCATGTTCCTGCTACCACTCCGTTAGTAATACTACTCCATTAGTCCAAACTCTGATTAACTGGATTTTTTTACCCTTTAGTTAATCTACTGTTTTTGTTTTCAAGGGAATATCTGATGGTGCTGGAGCTGTTGTCCTAGCTAGTGAAGATGCTGTTAAAAAACATAACTTCACTCCCCTGGCAAGAATTGTGGGCTACTTTGTGTCTGGATGTGATCCCTCTATCATGGGTATTGGTAAGTTTCTAGCGAAACCAACTGGTTCTATTGTATTTCTGGAGATAAGTCTACTTTGACATTCAAAGTCCTGAAAAAGTAGCCAAATCAAGGTCGCTTGTGGAGAAAAGGTAAGATAGGTAATCTGTCATTTCAGCGAATATTCTCTGTAAAGAATTGTCCTAGATATAATAGGAAAACCAAGACTATTCAAACTCCTTTGGGTCAGTAATCACATCCAATTGTCCATTTGAGATATTTAAAAATTAACACACAGAAAATAACAGAAGATTTACATGATCCTCACAAGATGAAAGAAATTATGAGATTTCTTTCAAGAACAGCAAGTGCACAGTTAGGGAGAATTCATGGGGTGGAATGGAAAGTCTGTATGGAGAAGTCCACCCGGCCCCCTGCTGGGTGCTTTACCCCACAGGCACTAGCGTACCTCATTTTGTCTTCCCACAGTTCCAGTAAGTGAGACTTCACTGTGAATGAGAATATTAGGCTTAAGAAGATTTCTCTCTCTTTTTAATACTAAAAGACTAAACTTTTTTTTTGTTCATTTTGGTTTTTGGTGGTGGAGGGGGTTGGAGATAGAGCCTTGTTAGAGTGCTATGGTGTCAGACTAGTTCACAGCAACCTCAAACTCCTGGGTTCAAGAGATCCTCCTGCTTCAGCCTCCTGAGTAGCTAGGACTACAGGTGCCCACTACAGGTACCCACTACAATGCCCAGCTAGTTTTCTATTTTTAGTAGAGACAGGGTCTCACTCTTGCTCAGGCTGGTCTCAAATTCCTGACCTCAAGCATTCCTCCCACTTTGGCCTCCCAGAATGCTAGAAAGAATAAAGATTTTTATTAAGCATTGTAAGTAGCATTCATTAGCCTTCAGATACACACACCACAATCTATTCACAGTCCGTCAAACCCAACAGTGGTTCAGTCTAAGTGAGGGCAAAACTCTGGGAAGGTTGTCTGGAAAAGTTCCAAACCAGTTAGTGATGGAGCCAGGGTGTGACTTCAGGTCTCTCTAAATCAGGCATTCCTTTCACTATGAGTTAAACATACTTTCTCAGGAAGTCAAAGTAATATTCCTCTGGCTCAGCGGAAGCTTATTAGCAAAATAAAGAATTATAAATAATTATCTAGACTGGCAAAGTACTAGGTAAAGAAATTTGGAACTCCCTACAAACAGACAAAGCCTTGGCTCAAAACATATGAATTAAAAGTAAAACAAAGAGCTTTTTGCTGGATGCACTCCTAGGAATCACCATTAATGCTGAATTTCCTGTCATTAATCTTTGGAGAAACAAGGAACCAGTTAGGTGCCTTACTTACAGAAGTAAAATTGGTGTTCAGAGGTGTTCTCTTCCACCTATAACCTCAAAATGAAAAGACTGCCCTGAGGTATTGGTTTCAGATTCTTTATAGCAGGTGTCCTCAAACTATGGCCCGCAGGCCACATGTGACCCACCTAGGACATTTGTCCGGCCCGCTGGGTGTTTTTGCCGCCGCTGCCTGTCCTGCTTAACAGCTGACTCATCCCGCGGCCCACAGTCTGGCCCTCCAACAGTCTGAGGGACAGTGAACTGGCCCTCTGTTTAAAAAGTTTGAGGACCCCTGCTTTATAGTCAGCTTAGGCCTTTTCTAACTCGTTTGTTTTTTGAGGTGAGTCCCAAGGTGGAAGGAGGACAACCTGTTGTTAACCTGCTGTCTCAGAGATCCTTCAGGTCTGCTCTGTAGGCTCTGCTCGGATAACGGCATTTACACTGACGTGGGGTCAAGTTAGTGCTCAGCCATCTGTGCTGCCGTGTTCTGCAGAGGAGACTGACCTCTGTGCAGAATTCCTAAGAAAGTAAACTGTATGTTCATACCTTATCATCTTTCATTATGTGTCTCAAATTTGTGTAGGCAAGAACTGTGAGGCCATTAGACAACTATCAAAGTCCGTTGTTGCCTGTTACAGTCCTAAGAGTTGACTAGCTTTTAGCTTCCCTCTACTGGCAAAACATAGCTTTTGTCTTAGAAGTAGAAGGTAACTGAGAAATTAAACATGTGTATGCTGTTATGACATTTATCATTTTGGTGTCCAGAGTGGTTCCCAGCCCCAGATGATTTTCAGAATCCACCCATAACCTCACCCCACGTGATCTTGTTTCAGGAGATCTGGAGCGGAGCCCAAGAACATGGAGTTTTCTTCTATGTACTTAGATGCTTCTTGTTTGTTTTTAGCTACAGCTTCTGGAATGGGACCTAGATGCTTTTGATGATCAAACAAATTTATTTAATATAGATTATTTTATAATTCATTTTCAGTTTCATCTCACACAATAGGTTCTAATAGATTAGCATGGTCAGTGAGCAGAGAAAATGTGGTTTGCCTTCCTTCCATTCCTGGGCTTGGGTATGTGCCTTAAAGTGCAGTGAAGGACACTGTGGAAGGATTGTCTTTTATCCTCAGGGCTTGAGCAGAACTAGGCATGCCACATGTCTCACAGTGTCAGATGTCTCCTTCTCCTGGAAGGTTGTCTGTCACTTCTACGTAGCATGGGATTGAACAAGGTTAATTACTGGAAGTACTCCAGATGAGTAAATTATGAGTACCTAGCAGGGACAGACTTGTCAATCCAGTTTATAAGAATAGTAGTTCCTCAGCTCTGCAGCTGTCTACCGTATGGCAATCCTTAGCCCTGCAGAATAGCCATAGACCCAGGAAAAGGGGGACAGCCAGGACATGAAAACAGCAGCAAGGGCTC